GTGACGTAGAAATTGTATTGCCTCATTAAAAACTCTGGGCTGTTGTCGTTAACGTCGGATATAATAACTCTCAACGTCGTTTTGGTTGTTAAGGCTGGTTCACCTGCATCTTTTGCGATTACTGTTACATCATAAATCGATTTGTTTTCCCTGTCAAGCTGTGACTTTGTCACGACAGTGTACATGTTTTCCTGTATTGAAGGTGTTATTGTGAAAGGGACATCGCCTTTTACAAAGCAGAGAACTTTCCCGTTTACTCCAGAGTCCAAATCCGTAATGCTAAGAAGTGCTACAGCTGTTGCTGGTCTGGAATCTTCTGAAATGGTACTAGACAGTGACGTCACCTCAATTACAGGTGCATTGTCATTTTTGTCTTTAATATTTACACTCACGCTTTTTTCCGTTCTAAATGGAACAGCACCGCTGTCAGATGCCTGGATGTTTATCTCGTAACTGTCATCCACTTCATAGTCTAATTGTCCTTTCACAGTTATCTCACCTGTGATCGGGTCGACATCAAACAGTTCATGTACCTTAATATTTACATTGCCGAAAGAATAGCTAACATCTCCATTCAAACCGTCATCCATATCCGTGGCATTTACTCGTATGACTATTGTTCCAATCGGTGCATCTTCATTTATATCTGCAGAATACACATCTTTTGTAAAAACTGGCGCATTATCGTTCACATCTAGAACGTCTATAAATATATCCATGGACCCTGATTTAGGAGGTTTGCCTCCATCCAGGGCTGTAAGAAGTAGTTTGTGGCTGCTCGAGGCCTCTCTGTCTAACGGGCTTTGTAATTGTAAAATAGGCACTTTACCTTCTTTTCCACTATCTTTCACTTCTAGCCGAAAATGATTATTAGGACTTAGTTTGTATTGTTGAACGGAATTCATACCACCATCTGGATCAAGAGCAGCATGCAACTGAAATCTGGTTCCCGGTAAAGTGGACTCCGAAATCTCTATCTTTTTGTTGTCTTCCGGAAAAGAGGGCGAATGGTCATTTACGTCTAACACTTCCACAGCAACGTAATGGATCTCCAGTGGGTTTTCTAGGACGGTCTTCAGGTTTATCAAACAGACATTGGTCCGCTGGCATATTTCTTCACGGTCAATGTTACGATTTACATATAAAATCCCATCATTTTGGTTTACTTGGAAAAGGGGTTCGGTGGAGCCAGAGACAATACGAAATCCCCTTGATTTTAATATGACTGGATCTATTCCGAGATCCTTTGCAATATTCCCAACAGAAGTCCCTTCTTTGATCTCCTCCGATATAGAATATCTTATCTGTCCCGATGCCTTTCCAAAAATCAGACTCAGAGACAGCACCAAGCCCATCCATTTGCTTCCTTTTCGCCAGGAGTACTGTCTGCTGTGTTCCATTGTCTGGTTTCAATGTACAAATCCAGTAAATGCCAAGTGATACAGACTGTTTACATGTCCGTTAATTGAAGAAAAATTACCGTCTTACAATGCGTGCGGGTTGTATGGACGCGAAAATCGTTAGAACAAAGCTCATTCGGAGAATATTGGTCTGCCCCCTGAATGCTTTAGAGGCAGTCTCAAAGATCGATGATGAAGTCCTGTGATGCGTATTTCTGGTTGTTTAGTGCCACCATGCGATT